GGGGGGGGGGGGGGGGGGGGGGGGGGGGGGGGGGGGGGGGGGCAGTGCAGTCGTGCGTGGGTTGCGGGCGAGCGGAGCGCGCTCGTGAACGACGTGTTGCCGTTAGGGACGCAGCGCGTGGCCGCCGGCGAAGCCAAGGTGAGCGGCTTGCCACGAGGGCCCTGGCGGCATTTGTAGCAGCCCCCTGCATCGGCAGGCGCCGGCCCCACTAGCCTCCTCGGCTTGTTGGCACTTTGCTTCCTAGGGGCCCGACTGCAGGCACCCTCCACAAGCTGCCCACTCACCCGCGGGCACCACCTTGTCCTCGTTGCCCTCGCCGCTGGGCCGTCCTATGCTGATGACGTCACCCGGCAGTAGGGCCTCCCCGGGGACCACCTCCCACTTGCCGTTCCTAGGGGGGGTCGCGGGAGTACGGGGGCATGAAAAGTGGGTGAGGCAGCCACATCGGCTGGGTGGCGGTTGAACAGCGCACGGTCGGAAGTGTCGGGAGTGCGTGCCCTGCATGGGCGTGCATCTGGTCGCTACAACCTCCCTCAATCAGGTGCGGCGGCGATGGTAGTGATGCAGCAGCAGGGAGGGGGGGCCGGGAAGCGCATTGGAAGGCGGACGGGAATGTTGGCCCCAACCTTGGACGCCGCCGGGACCACCGCCCAGCGGGCCTTAATCAAGGGCAACCGCGGCGCGGCTTTTGCGCCCCGCGGGCGGCGTGCTGTCGCGCAGCTTGGAAGCCGCCGACCCCCATTGTGGTGCGGGGCCGCGGTTGAATCTGCGCTCTCCAGTGCCCTCAACAGCTGTTGAAGCCCCACCATCACCCCTGCCTACTTCCTGCAATCTGGCTTCTGCAACTCGATAACAAGCAGGGCTGCTTGCACTCGACCGACCGACACCAACAGACGTTGTAGCGCAGCACCTCACCGAGCTGCACCCCCGGCCGCCGCATCGCAGCCAGCAAAAACCGGGCTTAGATTCGCAGCCGCAACCGCGCACACCCGTCCCACCCTCAGGCGGGCCGCACCTGTACGCGTGCAGCTTCTGCTTGGGCACCTGCAGGCTGCGCAGCTCCTTGAGCGTGCGCATGCGCTGGCCTACGACCGTGCACTCAAACATGACCAGCATGAAGAGCGTGAAGATGGAGTAGTACCTGGCGGTGGGTGGGGTTGGGTTGGGTGGGGCTGGGGTGGTAGGTGGGATGGGTATCATGCGGTGTGGTGTGGTGGGGTGGTGGGATGGGATGGGATGGGGCGGGTCGGTGGTTGGGTTGACCGTACTTCGGTATGCATGGGTCGTCCCGGGGGAAAGCACTTTTAGGAGGCTCGCGAGAGCAGAGGGACACGATGCGAAATCAGAGTCCAGAAAGTTGGGGGTGCAGCGTGCGCATATTCTTGTGGCGAAAGCTCGGGCAGAGAACGCAAACGGGTGCAGAAGGGCTGGCTGACTGTGAGGCTGTCGGCCCCAACCTTAAAACACTCCCGGGACAGGGGCCTCGGGGCGCTACACCGGGGGGCACCCGCGGCGTGACCGCCGCGGCGACTGCGAGGCAGCCGGCCGCTGTTGCACAACTTGGAGGCCGGTCGGCCCGACGGGGGGCGGTGCCGACGGATGAAATCTGTGCTTTTGCAACGCTGCCAACGCAGCGATCCCCGCAACAAGCCAGGTGGTGGCCGAATCACGGCCGGGCGGGCCTTTGGTGCGGCGTGCAAGAGCTGCGCCTGCAATTGCTTGCACGTCCGCATGCTATAGCTTGCACCTCCGCATGCTTGTTTTCAAACGGCATGCCGTTTACCACCAAATCGATATATTGCCTGGAAATGCGAGCGTCGGCGCCCAGGCGCGCGGTTTCTGGCATGCTCGCAAGGGCGTGTGTGCGTATGCTTGACAACACACACGCTCGCACGGCGTTACAGAAACAGCACAGGTACGCACGCATGCAAGCACTCCTCCACTCACACACATCACCCACCAGTACTCGTCCAGGCACCACAGCCCGACGCAGAAGATCTGGAACACGAAGAACGGCGCCAGCATCTGCTCCCGCAGCAGGTCCAGGAACGGCGGCACCGGGACGTCGAACCGGTTCAGGCCCCACACCTCGGCCGCCGAGGCGACGCGGTCCGCGGAGCCGTAGCCGCTAGCACGGAGGTACGATTCGAACGGCTCGTGGACGGGGAACCTGTGGAAGAGGCGGCGGTCAGGGGCGAGCACGGAAGGGGATCAGGAGAAGGGGAGGTTTGGCAAAGTCCAGGACACTGCAGCAGGAGCATGCAGCTCGCACGAACCGCTAGGCCGGCGGGTCAGGCGTGCGTGTCAAGGGCCACGCGTGGCTATACTTGGCTCTCCTGGCGCATGCTCTTCCCTGTCCTTCCCCCTTCCCCTTATCGGGGCAGCTGCCACCTCACCCAAGCCAAACCCCCAACCCGCTGACGGACACACTTGAGGCGTGTGAAGGTGTTTGTCTCGGGATGGTACAGGAACCGCAGCTTCCTGAACTCAAACCCGACCTCAACCAGCTCGTCCGATTCCTTGCTGGCGCCAACCGTCGGCAGACCGGACGCAGCCGCCGCGTCGGCGCGCTGCAGGGTGATATTGTGGGATTGCGAGGCGGCAAGGAGCTCGGAAGGAGGTGATTGGCATGCTGCTGCGGCGGCCGGTGCACTGGCGCAGTTTGAGCCTGCTGCCGGTTTGACTCGCCAGTACACACGCGTCGCGGCGGTCCAGGCGTCCACCCCAACCACTGCGTGCCGCCGTGCTTGTTGCTGCCTGCCTGAGCCCCGCAGCAAAAGTTCAAAGCCCAGCTGTGGCGCAATTTAGGGGCTGCGCACCAGGACACGAGCCGTCAGGGGCACGATTGCCCGCCTGCCAGAGAATTTGGCAGGCACCACCTGCCCACCATGGGTATGGGTGTGTGCAGTGTGCGGAAAGGGATCAGCACTGCGGTGGACCCACAACTTGCTGCATGTGTCGACCTCATTGCCCGCGACGCCGAATCCAACGCGTCCCCCCTGCCCGCCCCGTGTGCTAGCGCCACCCACAAACGGCTGCTTTGTTCTACCTCTGCCCTGTGCACAACACAAGCACAAGCCGCCGCTTGCCGACTCCCAAGCTTTCCCCGCCTCCTTGCAGAAACTCGCCTTGACAAACTCTGCCTGCGCCAGCTGATCCACTCGCGCATAGCCGGCGGTTGCTTTCCAATTGACGCTCCAAACTGTAAACAGCAGCGCCAGAACGTGCGCCACGCCCACGGCGCCCAGGCTGTAGGACAAGTACGTGAATACACGCCTGGTTTGTGAAAAGTACGCGTTGGGTATCAGGGCAGCAGCGGGGGGGCGTGTGATGTTGTGCACATCGGGTGTCTGCATGCGTGCATGCGCGTGTTTGTGTGTGCATGTGTGCACACGGTCAGTCTGGACCGCTCTGCAGGATGACAGAACAACAGGGAGTCGGTGTATGTTGCTGCGATGCGCGTGGGCATGCTGGTGGGGCGATCAGGACGCGGCGCTGCAATGCATGCTGTTGCACTGGGTTTCATGCAGCGGTGGCACACCACTGCCGCATGGAGCGCACCATTGGCCTGCGATCGCGTAGTTGACCAGCGCTGCTGTCACCAAAGCATATGCCACCAAAAAAGGGCCTAGATCGAGGCGAGAGAAGCCTATGCGCTTGCGCAGCAGCACGATCTCCTCCACCTCCTTTGCATCTACTTTCACAGGATCCTTGTGCCGAGGTATTACTTCACTATAGTTGATTGGCCGCCCCACCACGGCCGCGGAGGCCATTGAAGGAGCTGACCTATATCTGAGGTGCCCAGATCAAAGTGATCAGGGGTGGATCACCGCGTTCAGTTGAGGAATAATTTACGCAGACGTGCAACTGATGCCTGCATGAGTGGGATCATATGTGACACCACGGCAGCTTCCGATCCAGTCTCGGGCCAGGCACACGTACTGATTTCTGCAGAGACATCTGAGAGTGCATTCCGCCCGCTCCTTGCACGCGTGCTGATTTGCACGCACTTGTAGTGGCACTCCCGGCGGCCACCATACGGCAGTGGGTTGGGTGTGCTCTGCTGACACACGCTTTCTCATCTCATCAAGAGCAACACTGCTGCCTCGCGCATGGTACTGCGTGCGCACATAGAACGCGCATCGGCCTGATAGCTTCTTAGTGCACAAGCATAGGCCAGGGTTGAAGGCTTGCTGAGCAGAGGTCGACAACACAGCGCCAAGACGAGCAGCAGCTGCAGCACTGAGCGGGAGCGGCGGCGCGTGATGACGGGCCCGCCCCTGGGAGGCACACGGGCGCCGTGAGCATGGTGCTGGAGTCACACCCGCTGCGGGTCACGGAGCGGGACGTTTTGAAGGTGCGGTGCGCGCGAGGAGCCCCCAAGGGCCCGCTTCCGCCCGGGCGCGGCGCGGGCGCCCGTGTCTGTCCTTGCAAGCAACTGCGCGCGCGGGTATGTTCCATCAAACTCCTCATGGCGCCCTGCAGCATCCCGTCCCTAGCTCTCGACCATCTTCATGACTGCATGCCCCTCTGGCCCGACCCCTTGCTCGTGCCCGACAGGAGGAGAGCCTTGACGAATGGTTCCGTTCCTTCCAGGGGTTTGACCTGCATGTCCGGGTGGGTGGGCCGCCGCAGGCCGCCCCGCCCTGGCTGAAGCGAGGCCCGGGTCGCATGCATGCCCGCGAGCGTGGCACCAGCGACCAAACCCAGTACCAGGCCCCCCTCACACACGCCTTTTACTTGAGCAATCTCACACCCTTCGCCCCGCCCCACCCCGTCGCCCGCGCCTGGCCCGCCCATGGCTGCGTCCCCATGCGGCTGCCATCCTCGTTTGCGCAGCTCCTCTGCGCGCGCAACCTCACGCCGACGAACCGCAGTGCCCTGCCGAATCCCTATGCCGTCCTCATCGCCGGCCACCACAAGTGAGGCGCGACCCCACGCAAACCCAGATTCCACATACAGCTCACCGCATTGTTGTTTTAGTTCCATCTTGCCAGCCTGTGCACCAGCGCTGGCATACGTGTGTCAGCACGCGGACACACGCGGAACGCGGCCGTCTCAGCCGCTTGACGGCATTGCTGATGCATGTGAGCCCAGTGCCCTGCTGTCCAACGTCCCCGCCCAAAGGCACCGCACCGCGGCGCACCGGCGGCAGCTGGACGTCGATTTCGGGGAGGAGTGGGCCATAGAATGGCTCGAGGTCGCGAGCGGGCGGCGCGTGGTGAAGCTGGAGGTGGGCCAGGGCTTGCGGGCTGCCCCCGCCGACCGCGCACGGCCCGCCGGCGGCGCGCCTTGCTGCACCTCGCCACGCACAGTGCCCGCAGCGGCGGCAAAGCGTCGCGCCGCCATTACGCGACGCGCCTCGCAACCGCGCGCTCTGCAGGCGAGCCGCCGCTTCCCAAGCACCCCGCGCCTCCTGAAGCGGCGCCGCGCCGCTCGTCGCATCTTTTCAAGGACGGGCACCTCTCATGTCTCACCCATCCCCGCGGCCCGCCCCCAGATTTGGTCATGGGACATGTGGCGGCCGGATGAGCTCCTGGGGCGCGCCTTCATCGAGGTCAATGCCCTGGCCTTTGAGCCACAGGAGGTGCGCCCAAGAGCGGCCCACCGGCCGTCTGGCTGCCGCTGCCGTTGCCGCCGCTGCTGCTGCTGCCACGGCTGCCGCTGCCGCCGTTGCCGCTGCTGGCGCCGCTGCCGCCGCAACCGGCATGCGGCAAGCCCGCGCACGTCGCGCCTGGGACCTGCATTTGCGCCGGCCGGCCTAGCATAATTGCATGGCAATTAAATCTAGGAGGATTCAAGCAGTAGGGAGCAAGAGGAAGGCGTTATGGCTACTGTCTTGCAGAGGCAGCCCACGTCACCCTTGTCCAGGACACGCCATTTGACCACTAGCTGGCGTGCAACCATCACCCCTCAAACCAAGGTGCTGGACATTGACCTGCCACTCTATGCACCAAGCGTCCACTCCCTGCCGCCCCTAGCCACGAACTGGGCCGGCGGCGGCAGGGGCGGGCCGGTGCCGGGGCCGGGCGGCATCGCCAACAGGGGCCTGTCCCGCCTGACGCTCAACCGCCGCCCGTCGCTGCCCGCCCCGCCGCCGCCGCCGCCACCAGAGTCCCCGCGGGCGCTCGCAGCGGCCACGCACGGGCACGAGCGGGGACGGTCGCCGCAGCGGCGGCACGCAGCGGCGGCCGGCTCGCCGCTGCGGTGGGCGGCGGGGCCAGGGACGGCAGAGGACGTGTCGGATGACGAGCGCCCGCTGCTGCTGCAGCGCAGCTTGTCGCTGCGGCCGCGCAGCCGCAACCAGGAGCGGGGCAGGGACAGGAGCCCGAAGCGGCAAGAACGGCAGCAGCAGCAGCAGCAGCAGGCCCGGGACCCAAAGCAGCAGCTGACGCGGATGCTGCTGAAGGCGCGCCAGCTGCCGACCGTGGGACAGGTGCAGGTGGCGTTGTGGTGGGCGCCGGCCCAGGCGAGGCACGCCTTCGCGGCCGCCGAGTGCTGCAGGCAAGCGCATGGCTGGGGCCGCGCTTTGGGCTGCATCGATGAAGGGCGACGTTAGCCGATGTAATGTGTGGCGCCAGAGTCGCTTGCCGTGACCACGCATGTCACCACCCTGTTTTTTTGTGAAGTCATGCCTGCCTGTCTTTCGTTGCCCCCAGCTCCCCGTCTAGCGCTTCAACCTAAAGGAGTCCCCTCACCTGCTCCTGCGCTGCGTGCGGCCCAGTTTCTGCCTGCTTCCGGGGGAGTCCAAGGTCCCGCCGGTGCTGGCCCACGCGCGGCTGGGGGAGCTGTATGAGGAGCCATGCCTGGTGTTCATCAAGGTGGGTGGGGGCAGGCGGGGCGCCGCTGGGGTGG